CGACCCGAAGCTCTTCCAGAATATGATACTGTATCAAACGAAAATGCTGATGAGGTAAAAGTGTATATTATACATAGTTTTGGAACTTTTAGAGATTTTTTTTTCTTTCGGTTAGAAGCTTATACTGCAAGCCAGATTTTAATGGAAACATCTTTTCCCGAAAGTGTTGCTAATAGTTGTTATGTACACCAGTTTTTGATTCCACAATCGGTAGCCTGCCAGATCCAGACAGTGTTCTAATGGATATTTCACAAAATTTCCCATTATCTGACTTCTCAACGCAGCAAATTCAAGAAAATTCTACATTCAATGATTATTGTACTGAGACAACTGATAATGCTCACGTAACTTACAAAGTCGAATATAAAAGGGCGGGAGCAATGGTTGAAGATGAAAGATTTCCTGTAATTTATGTAGGGCATTTAGATGAAACAGCTAATGTAGGACAAGTACAGCAAGTCCCTATTCAGAATGCGCAAAATACCATTGAGGATTGGACACAAGAGCCCACTCAAGGCAGACCAGAAGAAACTAATAAGGAAGACAAGGCAATTCTGCACGAGAACGCTTTACCACTGAAAAAAAGGATTATAACTTGAGCAAAGAATCGATGGTAGGTGAAGAAATTAATAAAGAACAAGAAGAATCCACTGAAGATGAACTACAAGGAACTAGTAGAGTAGAAAGGCAAGGCAATTCTGAAAGGGAAGTAATAAAGCAAAATGATGAGAATAACGATGAAAACAGAAGCGAAAAACCAGTGGAGGACGAAAAGAGAGTAAAAAACACCTAAAAAACCCAACACCTCACAACCTAAAAAAGGTCGCAAAAGAAGGTATCCAAATGAATCGAGAGAAATACGGAAAAGGAACTGTCAAACCAATCAAACATATTTTAGTCAGAAAGACAAATTAGTAACACCTCGAGAATTTGTAGATTATCAATGTAAAGACAAGTGCCACGAAAAAGTTACTTTACTCGAAAGACAGAACGAGTTCAGAAAGTTTTGGAATTTGGGAGATTTTTAAGCGAAATGCCTTTATGCGAAGTCTTGTGTGAAGGTTGTACTAGTGAAAAGAAAAAGGAACAAAAATTCTACAAAAAGATCTTATATAAAAATATATAAACTGGCAGATAAAGACGTTTGTTCAAAGATGTTTATTGAAACTTTGAAAATTTCATCAGCAAGAATTGACAGATACCTTAAGAAAGTATCTTCACATGACGTTATAACAGATAACAGAGGAAGGGGAAATAATCCTAAGAAATTGTCACAAGAACGAAAACAGAAAGTAATAGAGCATATAGAGAAATTTCCAAAATACCAATCTGGTTACTGCAGAAATAGTTCAAGTAGGCAGTTTCTAAATCCAGACACAACTTTGGAAATAATGTTTGACCTATACAAAGCTGAATTATCATGACCCAAACCCCGTTTCTTTTTCGACATATAAGCGATGATGATTTCAATCTTCAAAGAAAAAGACTCAAAAAAAGACACCTGTAATAAATGTGATAATTTAGATGTAAAGATTCGAGATTGTGTAAATCATTAGAAGAAAAAAACAAAATGGAAAACGAAAGAGATATGCATCAAAAACAGGCCGAAGAAGCCCGAAATCTTATGAATTCTGATCTAGAAAGGGCAGACTACAGAATCATTAGAAGTATTGACTTTTGTTATGTCTGGATTGAAGGTGTAGCAGGCAAAGGTGCTCAAGAAGTTGGCTCTGTTTTAAGAAAGCATTTGAAAAAGACAATCTTAATCCACATGTAACTGAACTAATTCTGTGGTCCAATAGTTATGGCGGCCAAAATCGCAATATAAAAATAGTAATGCTTTTTAAGACTATTATGGAAGAAATGCCAAAGATTGAAAAAATGATTATGCGATTTTTGGTCTCTTGGAGATATTGAGTCAGCGCTGAAGTATCAAAAAAGACTTTATACACCGAATGATTACGTCGAAGTCATGAAAAGCTGCCGGAGACGGAACAAATTAAAAATTTATTTTGGAAAAACATGATTTTGTAGGTGTTGACAAAATTTTAAAAAATACCGGGTTCGTCTCAAAAGTGGCTCACCACTATAACTTTTTTATTTTTTCAGATAAAAAAACGAGATTTGGTATGTTAGTATATGACATAAATTAGGATTGATTGACGTATTCAATTGTTTTTGGTTACTTCCTGTTTCACCGGAAATGACAACAACTCTTGATTTTTAAAAAAACCTCGGTATTGTTTTACTTTATTTGATAGAAAATGATATTCTGAATAGAGTCATATGTCATATGTCAACTTTTGACATTCTCGCTTAATAAAAAATCGTATTTTAAAATAAAATTCAATCTAGAGTGACATGGCTATGTTAAAAACACTAATTCTTAATCAAGGAGTCTTAGAAAAATAGATTTGATCGTCTAATATTTTTAGTGTCTTGCCCTGACCAATTTGAAAATGCTCAAATCGTATTTTTAATCATATCTTAATTTTTTCAAATGGAACGAGGGTGGCTCATTAGCATATTTGGAAAAGGCATTTTTTTGCGAATAATTTGATACCACACACTCGGTATTTCGAATCAAATTTTCGTTACGAACCGCAAGTTATAATTTCAAATAAACCATATGCGAAAATGTCAAAAGTTGACATATAGAGGTATGTCATTCTATTCAGAGTATAATTTTCTATCGAGAAATGTAAAAAAATACCGAGGGTGTCATTTAAAAATTAAAAGTTGTAGTAATTTCCGGTGAAACAGGAAGTGGCCGAAAACAATTGAATACGTCAATCAATCCTAATTTGTATCATATACTAACATACCAAATCTCGTTTTTTTAACTGAAAAAATAAAAAAGTTATAGGGGTAAGCCACTTTTGAGACGCACCCGGTATAGTTAACAGAAAAAAAGATATTAATGGCGATTCCGTTAACTGGCTGAGAACTAGAGAAATACCGATTTTGAAAGAAAAACCATTTATGATTTTTTTCAGTACAGAACACCAAGGAATGAAGCAAGAAGTTGACGTTTCCAAAAAGCAGTTATTAAGAAGAGGAGCTTCTTCCCCACTCACTTTTTCTTCTAGCCTTAACGTTTTATGGCCTGAAGGAAAACCAGTATCACCTGCAAAGTTAAATGACATAAAATCTTTGTTGGATCTTATTCCCTCAGATGCCAAACGGTTCTATGAAAACATTATAGGTGACGGAGCGGATTTCGGATGATGTTGATGGATTTGATGGATCGTTAGATTTTGATCCTGAGAACGAATAATAAAGCCATCTTTGTTGATGTAGCTATTGTTAGTATCGTGTTAAAATTTGTTACTTTATGTACTTATAGAATTTTTGAGTTATCTTTAAAAAACTGTTAGAATAACAATATGTTCTACTATTACGTTTTTTTTGTATTTTTTTTGCTTTTCATAACTTTTTCATCCAAAAACAACATGCTACGTTGCATTTTTAGTATTGTAATAAAGAATCATACGACAAATGTGTTGACTAATTCTTTGCGAAGATTTAAATACTGTTTTAATTCTAAAAAACTTACATCGAATTAAACGACAGTCTAGCCTTATAAGCCGTAAATTGGTTATATAATCATACTTTTGAAAACCAGGCTCTAAAATACACTACATTATCGTCCTAGTGACAAAAACTCAAATTTTAAACTCCCATAATAACGACTCCACGACAAATTAAAAATAAAAAAGTCTTTAAATTATATTTTCTCAGAAATCACAAAATATCGCTTAATCTATTATTACATAACGTAGTCCAAAAATATAATACTAGGAGAATTAATAAAACTTTGGATGCATGTCATCAAAATTAATGACGTACGAACGTCGCGATGTTTCCGGATCCTTTGCAATATTCATTGTTTTACTTTGACATTTGTCATTTTCCCAAAAACACGCCGTCTAATTAATGGCTTTGGCATTTTGTTGCGATGATAAAATTGTCGTATTTTTTCAGTTCAGCCCCAAAAATGAGCAAAGTAAGGAAGATATCAATTATTTATCTACTCAGCGGTTTAAAGTAGGTTATGTAAATCCAGTTCAGTCCAGTAGGCTATGTTATTAAAAATGATGGCAATACGGCCAGAAAAAATTTTCAGAAATGCAGATATTTCGGCACAAATAACCCAAATCAATTTGGAATTAATTGTTAAGTTTCGCGTTATTTTGGAAATTATTAACTGTGGCTACAAGATAGATTTAAATAAATTTGAGAAATACCTCAGTGAAACCAGAGATTTATATTTAAAAGAATACTTCTGGTATCCCATGCCTATAAGCGTCCATAAATTGTTTTGCCATGGGACAGAAATTGTTTCATCTTTTATGTTGCCTATTGGGCAATTTTCAGAAGAAGCTCAGGAGGCGCGGAATAAGGATAACAGAAAATATCGTGAGTTGTTTACCAGAAAATCTTCTAGGATAGCTACAAATGAAGATCTTATGCATGGACTTTTAATTACATTCGATCATTTCATTGCCAGTTTGCGTTCTCCAAAAACCAACCATCAACAACTTTTACCAGAAGTATTAGGTATGCTAAAATCGGTGGATATTTCTAGGCAAACGGACTTTGAATCCAGTAGCATTAGTGATAGCGAATAACAATATTCTGAACACTATTAATATAATAGCACTAGTGCTATTATGAATTCATAATAACACGCAAATTTTAAAATAAGAAACAAGTAAAAAAAGGTACCTAAATACGTTTATCTATTGTAAACATTAATTATAATATCAGTACAATTGGTTAAATTAATTCCAGACGATGACAGGTGAGTTTAATTTTTAGAAAGTAAATTTATTTCCTGAGTGCTTGAACTTGTTGAAGACCCATCATTGCCAGAAATATTACCCAAAATATTACATGACACTTTTTTCTTATTTTCTTTGGAATTTTCTATATAGCTCTCTGCCACTGTGTTAGAGCGCCAACCACTATGTCTTTTAACAGTTAATAAATCCACTCCTGAATCTGCAAGCAACGACGCAGACGATCTACGGAAACAATGTCAGTGTATTGTTGTGGACTCTGATTTTAAGAATAGTATTTGGAGCAAAGTAGAAGCAGAAATGAAAATGGATGGTGAGTAAAAAATACTTTACTGTTGATCTGGCCACAGAATGAATATATGCAATTTAATAGATATTGAAGTTTTTTTTGTCTGATTCTTTAAATCTCACACGTGCATTCTTTAAAAAAACAATTTGTATTTTAGTTTACTTTTATTATCAGTAATAATAGGTATAATAATGTTAATAAGTAAAATTACGTTAAGTTTACTATTTGTATTATATTTTAAGTTTGTCGGTTATTTGGTAGCCATGACTTCTTCTATTGTAAAGTCTAAATTTTTAAATCAAAATACCAAAAGTGTTTTCTGATGTCCTCCTGGCACGACACAAACGATAGTTAAAGTTACGTTTCCGATCATCTAGAATATCTCCTGGATATGGTCGCATTAAGTACGTTTTAAGAGGAAATGCTTCGTCACCTACGATAACGTATGGAACTTGGATATCTGTATTAGGTATGGCAGCTGTTTCTGGTATATTCAAAGTTCCATGCTGAAGTGCTTTTCCTAGCTTTGATTTGGCAAACACATTTGCCACATTTCATAAAAATCAGTAGCGATTTTCAGCCACATTTCCTGTGTTGGAGTAGGCATCAGTTCTTTCGTGAGATGTGTAATAATCTCGCAAGTCTCTCGTACAATTCTATGAACTGTACTGTCTTAGACGATAGCTAAACGGAATTGTGTTCAGGGCGCTCCAGTGGCCAAATATCTGAAAAAAAAATCAGTAGACATAAAAAAATGTACAACAAAAGATATTTTTAGCTCAATTCTTAATTTTTGTTTTAGAGTCTGTCTGTAAAACTCGGTGGGCCAATATTAGAGACAACTTCAGAAAATCTTTGAATAAGCAAAAGACTAAGAGTGGACAACAAGCATACAAATATTCAGAGCAGTTGAGCTTTTTGAAGAAATTCTTTGAGGAGAGGGAGACCAAAACGAACATTGAGATCTACGTAAATATCGACGATTTCAGTGCAGTGCAGTGTCAGTATCGTAGCAGGCGGAACCGTGCCGTATTTATTTTGATTTATCGTGGCCGACGATATTTTTTGGATTTCACGTTGACAGTGTTAAAGACGGATGATGAAAACCTTTTTGTTTTGGTGGAAGAAAACAGTGTCCTCTATGATTTAAAACATCCAAAATATATAAATACACAGTTTAAAGAGAAAATATGGAAAAATATAGGAGAACAACTTAAACAATCAGGTAATATTTAACATTTTTATTTGTTTTTTACCATGTTGCTAGTACAAACTTTGCATATCCATTAGAATTAGAATTTAGAATAAGTGGGAGGGGGGTTAATCTCTGCGACCTTAGAGATCTATTGTGTCCCCCTTTCTTGAGTTATAACTCATCATACAGTCCCAGGACTTCCTACGGAGACCCGTGTCCCTCACAGTCGAGGAGCTACGACCCAGGCCGGGTAGACGAAACGGTAGCTTGTGTCGCCTGTTGGGTTTAGAGGTAGGAGGTAGGCTCCCGACCCTTGGAGGAGGTGGTAGCTTGTATGCCACTTGCGGAGGATGGTCTCACGCAAGTGTCAGCCACCTCTCCTGTAGTTCTCTTTGGGTTTGGCCCCTTGGAACTTTCATTGTTACTGTTCCCAGTGTCGCTAGGGGGTTTCCCCACAGCTTCACCGGTGATGTTTTTATTACTATTATTACCAGATCTCATAGTGTTCCTATGAGTCGCTAGGGACAGTCGGTCCACTTCTACAGAGCCCCGCATGTAGAAGTAAGGGGTAAAATACAATGGGGTGCCCCCCGGTGCCCCAAGGTTGAGGCTGTCCGTAGCCCCGCCCGGTATCGTTATATGTCTTGGTGCAATTCCCTGGCCACGACACTACAGTCAGGGACAAAACGATGAGTGAGATGCTTCTTAGACCAAGCCAAGTGCTAGGGGGGATACCCCCCAGCACCTGACCAGGAGCTTCCCCACCAACGACAAGGTCTTGCATCTCCTAGGGGAAGTGCATATCCATACACGCAATTAAATTAAACTATTTCATTTTGCATTGAATGGAACCTGCAGGAGAATTAAAATATTCTTTAAATAATTCCCTAACCCGAACTGCTTCCTGTGGCGCATTTCCTCCCTGCATAGGTATACTGCTTAAATTGGGCCTTTTTGGTTCTTCTGATATAAATGTTTGGTCCACAGATATATTTTCATACTTTTTTATAAAGTTATGTAAAGTGCAAGCAGCAAGAATAACAAAATCAACGTTTTGTGGCTGTAACTGGATCACTCTAAGAAATATTCTGAATCGTTGTACTAATATTCCAAAACCATTCTGAACCACTCTTCTTGTACGTGATAAACGGTAATTAAAAATACGACTGCTATCAGTTAGTGGTTTTGATGGGTATGGTCGCATTAAATATGGTTGTATGGGAAAAGCCTCGTCACCTACGATGACATATGGCATTTCAATGTTACTTCCTAGTATTACTGTGGGTGGTGGAATATTAAAAGTTGAATTTTCCAATGCTTTTCCAATGTTTGAGTGAGAAAAAATTCCGCCGTCGCTATTTTTGCCATAGGATCCTACATCAATAGCTGTAAAATTGTAATGAAAAAAGTAACAACAAAAAATGTTTTTTGTAAACAGAAAATGTTTTTTTATAGTTAAAATAAAGTGAGCCGCTTCTTCGTGGACACTGTATCGTGATGTGCTTGCCATCTATGGCGGCCGAACAGTTTGGAAAATTCCATATGTCCTTAAATTCAGATGCATATGTTATCCATTGTTCATTTGAAGGCTGTGGCATTACCTCCTGCATTAAACATTTTACAATAGCCTTGCAAGTCTCTATAACAATCTTATATACTGTGGCATGTCCAAGTCGGAAACTAAAAGATATTTTTCTCAGAGAATCTTCTGTTGCTAAGTACCTGAAAAAAATGAAATAGTTTTATATTATAAAATGACGTTATGCTAAAATTTAACTTTTTTGTTTTAGGTGCAGATTGTAAAGCGAGATGGAGCAACATTAGGGACAATTATAGGAAATCGAAAAAAAGACGTATGACGAAAAGTGGTCGAGCAGCTGTTAAAACTAAAAAGTACAAATATGAAGATCAACTTGGGTTTTTACTTCCATATATGGAAGAAAGAGCGACTTATAGTAATGTGAGTGAAAATGATACCCAAACTATTCCAGACGAAAGCGATACCCAGACTTTTGCGAACGAAGACGATATAGATGATAATCAAAATCAGGTGACAGCAGATCATGCTGAAACCCGCGAGGAATTTGACGATACTAAAAATTCAGTTAACAACAGTGATGATGACCCCTTTAAAACACCTACATTGACTGACAAAACCGCAAATTATTCTACATCAAAAAAAAATAGCAGGTAACAAAAGTTTAAAAAAAATCAAGTACAAATACGGAATCAGCAAGTAGTACCTCAATGAAGTACATTTTACGAAAGAACGAAACACCTGCTCAGCCAGAACCAGTTAATAGTGTTGATGCTTTTTTAGCAGCACTTGCCCCTACACTAAAAAGCTTTACGCCATATTATCTAAACATGGCTAAAATCCAAATTTTTTCAGCTATACAAAAAGTTGAGTTAGATTATATAATGAGTCAAGGAATGTCAAGACCCCAAGCTCTTTCTATGGAGGAAAGACTAACATTATCACCTAATTCTGGGGAAACTTCATTGGGAACAAATTATTCAACACCATCTGATACAATGTGGCCTGTAAATGAGGATGTAACGAATTTATCTTCAACTGCCCATGCTTTTAGTACATTTCTTCGTAGAGATCCAGAAGAATATAGAACAGAATGATTCGACATTTTTTTGTTTAATAGATGTAAAATAAAATTTAAAATTCGCGTTTTTTTATTGGTGTCCTCTTGCCAAGGACAGGCCTGTTGTGATACTGCGATTAGTTTATTTTTTACATACCTTAAACATACGGCCAAACGAACTTGGGGTTCAATAGATTTTCTTCAAAAAGTATCTTGCTTTTGAATCTCATCTTGAATCGTTGCCAACAAAATATTGAAAGTGATGTGAGTCATTCTAAAGTATTGATGGAATTTTACTTCATCGTCCAGCAGCTCCTTAAATAAAGTAGCATATTCCCCTTCAGTATCACGTTTTCTCCACGCTTTATGAACCCAAATACGTTTTTTTTTCTTGGTTTCTTCTTCATCCAATAAAATAGCAATAATGGCCAATTCTTCTAGAGAAATATTCATAATGAAATCTGTCTGGCGGCATAGGCACGGAAAAAACTGGCAAGTGTAAATTCTCTGCACTGTCACTGTGCAGACGTACGGTCACTGTACGGCACTGTCACTGTACGGGACGGTCACGGCAATGTGGAAATCAGCCTTAAAGATAACTTGCCAGGAAACCATTGGTACGAGTCATTTCTCAGACGCCATAGTGAATTAGCTAAAAGATTTTTTTATGGAATCTGGAATTATTTAAAATCTAAGGGTTTCGAATCAATTTTGGAAGACCTGTCTAGAGTGTTTAATGGAGACGAGATTTGTTTCCTTCTCGGACCGAAAGAATCTAAAGTGATAGCGCCCAAAGGTGCTAAAAACGTTTATGAAGTAGACAGAGCCGTAGCAGAGGAAAATCTTACAGTCATGTTCACTTTTTCTGCCTCCGGGATAATCATTATCTACCCATATTACCTCCAGCTGTTGGTAATTCAG